AAAAAATGATACATAATGGCACCCATTACCGGTACAACCAAAGCAACCAATGAAATGATATGCCATGAAAAGAAACTATTTGCAGTAAAGTGAACTTAAATGTTGTATACAGTATACAGCAATAAGAGCACAGAGGGAAGTCAAGATTGATTCCAGCAATGCCTGTGCAAAGTGGGATGATGTAGCTCAACCATGATACCCAAAGTTGTAATTGGTCTTACATTATGCAGTTTAAGGGTTGTCCATATCCTCATGAGCAGCTCTCTGATAGGCCTCCTCAATTAAATCATTCCAATTTTCCAATAGAGGCACATACAGCTGATGCAATGTTTTGGCTGGTGCAAATACACCAGGAAAAAAATAGATGGCATAAAGGAAAGAAAATGATACCCTTAGTAAGGGGATAATGATGTGATAGCGCAGTTGACATGTATAAACCTGTGGTTTGAAACCGCTGGGAGGCCCGGCTGCTGATAATGGTGAGGAATTATCAGCGACCCAGGCCCCTAACTGGTTCTAAACATCACTTTTATAACTACTCCATCACACTATTATCCCCAATCATTAATAGCAGTTTGGTAAAAAAAAAGAAGTAAAAAAGTTGAAAAGTTGACAAACTTCTGATGAGTTTTGCACTACCATGTACATTTTACTCGATGTCAGGGATTTTCTATGGTGGTAAGAATCCATTAGAATCAGTTTTATATAGTATTCGAATTCGGTGTAGGCTTCCTCAAACCCATCAAACCCCCTTCTCTTGGTGGCTTGTGAAGGGCACTGGTATTACATCATCTGCATGCTCTTCTCCGTCAACATAAGGCCAAAAAAAAAAAATATTCGGTCTCTGGTCAGACCAAAGTTTCGGAATTGATGTGGGGACGCGGCTTTTTTTTTTTTTCTTCAAGCTTGGATTGTACAGACAAGGTGGGGTACTATTTTGCTTTTTTGGTGTCCTCATGTACATTGGTGTCCTCCATAATTTGCCTTGGTGCTCTCGATCATTTGCCTTGGTGCAATTTCCCATTCCTTGGTGCTCTTTGGTAAAAAAAAATTGAGGAGGTGCAGCAATAGAGGGCGCTGTTGGAGCTACCACGGAACATTTTGGAAAAAAAAAAGATTGACGCGCATGATTGAAATCGACCGACTTATTTTTTTTTGGGGGGGGGCCTAATTGTAGAATATCATCATGATGACTCTTGCTTGACACTAATGACTCATGACTCACAAGTGACGTATCTTTTGAAACCCCAAATTACCTTTTTATAATTCCTTTATTTATTTCCTAAAAGTAACTTAAAGCTTTGCTAAAGAACATTAATCACATGCTCACAACACTCTCCAGGAGGTGTTGCCAATAATATTAATGTTTGTTATTAAAAGCAACCCTCCCTACATTGCCCTATTTTCATAGGTATACATGTATATGTCCATGTACACCCATATCACACACACGTGATTCGGATTCAGTGGTGTAACCAGTGGGGGTGGGGTTGTGGGTAAGGGGATGCGCAGAGTAGCAGATTGCAACAGAATGGAGATTAAAAAACAACACCATTGGGATGGTGATAGAAGCCAAATCAGGATGGTAAAAATGGGTAACAGGACGAGAATTCTATTTTGCAACACAGCATTTTCTAATGAATGCCCTCTTTCACAACTTCCCTTTTTCATGAGTGCCATGTTTCACAGGAACCCTCTTTTTTCACAAGTCTGTAATTGTGCCACCTTGAAGAGCGCCACCTACTGTCAGAAAATTTCAAGTGTGAATCGTGGCTTATTTTTACCAATGTTGCTCGGGCCTCCTCCTGTCTCAGCACCAGTCATTTGCAGGGTACATACATGTACATGTACATGCACATGCAGGACTAACACTGGATCATTATGTATCATGAAGGTATGTAATCGTCACTGTGCATCCATGAGAAGTGTTACATGAACCCTAGTGTATTGCAATATCATATTAAGAAATTATATGTGCAGTGTGGGTTTCTAATAGCCTGCACATACTAAACAATGCATGGCACATCCAGTAAATGGAATGTTTGAGAATGAATCCTTGTAGAGGCCTATTACATAAATTACATAATGATCCAGTGTAAGTCCTGCATGTACATGTACCCTGCAAATGACTAGTGCTGAGACATATACATGTATATGCTATTTTTGTCATAAACAGAAATAGCATTAAATACATTTGTAAATCATCGGCAACTGTAGGACATTTCCTCAAATATTTATGCATGTTTACTCTTTCCACTTTACAAGACCCTTTAAAGCCTCATTGAAAAAAAAAAAACAGATTGAAAAACAAGAAAAGCAAGTACATGTACATGTATCTTAGTAAATCCTATCTTTTCAAACAATAGTGACATTTCTTTGTAAAACTGTTGAATAGGGAAAAACAAAATCAACAATACCACCAAACCCAATATTTTTCATCATACCCCATCATTTTTCACCACTTATTGAATACGGAAACATATGACATCAAACAGAGCACGAAGGACATGTAACAGCACACAACCATGACAGCAATGGAAGCCTGTTTACATGATGAAGCGGTAGGTAAACGTCAGCCGAATAATCCCCTACATACAGTTTTAAGAACCTTAAGGTGTTTAGTATTTAGACCTACCACTACTTAAAATTGATAAAATCTACATCACAGTCAAATCTCCTAAGTTTTGTTCGTCAAGTTAACTAGAAAACAAAACAAAAAGAAACTGAAATAAACAAATACACACCAAGAAGACACTAACATTAACCCTAACGTACCTGAATCCATCAAAATCCCCCCCCCCCCCTGTTTCGGGGGATTCAGGATACCTCCATATTGCACAAACTGGGGGATTTTGATGGATTCAGGATTGTAAGCCTAGTGGAACTGCAGGATTTTGATGGATTCAGGATACCTCCATATTGAGCTGTTGGGGGATTTTGGCAGATTCAGGATCTGTGGTCAAGTAAGTACTGCTTGTAGCCCTGCCAGGGCCCAATTTCATAGCGCTGCTTAACAGCTGACTTTGGCGGATTCAGGATACCTCCAGTATCTACACTGGGGGATTCTGATGGACTCAGGATACCAGCATTTTTGCCTGTCAAAATTGGTGGATTTCAGCGGATTCAGGATACTTTCTGGTAAAAGAGCCCCAGGAGTTAGGGTTAAAAAGCATGTTTATGGTGTAAATCAAGGACACACATGTGAAGCATCATCGAGTAACTGAAACAGGAGTCAATTAGAGGACGACCTCGATTAGAAAACATATACAAAACCAAAGAGAGTTGTATGAACAAAAGAGAGATGATGAGGAACAACAGAAATCCTTGACTTACACCATAAACAAATCTGATGGGGTGTCTTTGTCTTACAGTCACTATCATGACTATGTGGACATGCGAACAAAAGATGTCCACATAGTGCAGGTTGTGTTGACGTAATGTGGACGAATCCGTGTCCACGTAACGTTTCGCCCTCTAAAACAGGTCTAGAGGCATTTTCGGGTTAGGGTTTTTTATGGCAGATTGAAGAGAAATATTCAAGGAAATCCAAAAACAAATCTGAGGTTTGAAAGAGTTTTCACAATTTAAGTAAAAATATTTTTTGTACCAATTTTCTACACGAAAACAAGGGAATGTCCACATTGAGCATGTAAAACCAACATGTGTGTATTTGTATGTAAACACCGACAATCGTGGACTAGGACAAAATTCATGTACAAAACCAATGAGAGCTGTTGCTAAAAAGTTAGCACAAACAAAGGAATGAGGATTAAGAACAATAGGGGGTCCATGATTGCCGGTGTTTACATGTGTGGGGGTTGTGACTTTGTTTCTGCTTTGATAAGGGCCGTTCAACAATAGAGGAAAATAGGGTCCCCAATTCCTGAGAGGTCCCCAATGTGGATTTGTGTACAAAACATATGTGAGGTCTTCCAAAAAGTTAGTACAAACAAAAGAGGGGCAATAGGGGGCCCCCAATTGCAGGCAAATTGTGTGTTGGGGGGGGGGGCTTTATCCTTTTTCCCATTAAATTCGTAAGTAAAGATGATGTCTTTTCAAAGGTGTTTATTGGAAGCATACACTGCACACGTACTGGTACTGTCATACCTTGTAAGGGTGCAACATACTGTACATAACTGTAAGATAAAAATGATTTCATCTAATGGCTGTACGTAACTACATGTAGTAAGCACTGCATAATTACATGTAAGGCTGTTGATATCCTTATGTGGATGATGTATACATTTGTATATTTTCATTATGTTAATAATGGTATTGTATAAACTTACTTCGTATTCATAAATACCTAAGACAGCTTACGCATTCCTATTGGTCAAGAGCCCGTCACATGGCCGGTCTTAAACGGATGATAAAGACATGGCTAGCTGGTCTTTAACACTTTTCCAGTGTCACATGAAATTTGGACTCCCATGAAATCGGTGCCTTTTGACGTTTCATTGGTTGAACGTTCACATTCCTCACGTATGCATGCGCAATACTACCAGTGAATCAGTATTTCAAGGTCCGAAATTCACACTTCACCAGCCCAGCTGCGTTTTGCAAGACATTGCGCAGTACGCGCAACGCGCACGCCAATGTCCTTATAAGGTAACGAGTTGTGGAGGGGCATTCCATATTATAGTCAGAGGGGTGTTTCGTAAAACATGAAGAACAAAATAAAAAAATGGTTGGCAACGTCTAGTTTTTGACTTGCTTTGATTTTTGGACCGAAAAGATTTGGTTTTTTGACCGAAAAGGTATTTATGAATGGGAATAAATATGTGTTCGGTCGGTATTAAACACTCTGTTTAAGACCGGTGGGAGTCTGGATGGGTGATAATTACCCATCCAGACTCACACCGGTCTTAAACAGAGTGTTATAATACCTCCCGAACACACATTTATTCCCTTATTATATTTTGTATGCTTAAATGTAAACATAATGTATTAATGTTTGTAGTGTCATAACAACGTTGAAACTAAATGTTCAGTATTATAAATAATAATAACAGACATGCATTTTCTTCTTTAGAGCTACAGAATAAATGGTCATGACAATGTCTTACATGTTATCTACCCTGCAAGTACAGGAACAAAAAAGAGGAAAACAATGTTGAACATTGTCTATTAAGGTTGAATAAGTTCATACACAAATGCTCAAGGTAAAGAAGAGATAAATGATCAAGTTCATTGCACTCAGTATTGACGTAGGGTTAAACAACAAATTCCAAGAAGTGCAGACACCTCCCCTCACTAACTTTCTTCAAAAAAGCCATCCCAAGATAACTGAAGTACTGTAATAATCGATGCTTAGAGTAGCATCCCCGTCAGCCTTAGCCATCCTTATATTTTCCTACTGCTGGAGTAACTAGTCCAGGTTGAATCTTCTTGTTCCCAGTCATATTATCTTCAAGGATAACTGCAGCCTCTTTGCGTTGTGGTAATATTTCAGTGGGGGAAGCTTTCACAGCTTCGTTCCCAACAACCGGAACCTTGTCTCTGTGTGACTCTCCATGATCAAGTAGATCAAATTGGACTGGGGCTAAAACTGCCTGATTCAGAGGGGCTTTGGGAATGAGGTTGTGAGTAGGCACCTGTGCGTGGTGCATCGGGGCAACGTCTGCCAAAAAAAACACGAAAGAAATGGAAGTATTTTGGGGGTTGGTTTGGATTGGGAGGCATATTGTCTGAAAAGTGTATGCTCATGTACTGTTTTAAAGTATCACAGTTCTGAAGTCAGGGTCAATTCAAATAAACTACAAATCACAAGGAAAATCCCGAACCAAATATATGACCAAGGTGATGGATCTCAACAAGCAAGATGGAAGCCATCTGGGTGTCAATACCAGAAGTCCCCACTTAAACAGTTACTAAGTATCCGGACAACCTTATGACACTGTATTTATTCACTGAATTTTTTTTTTTTGTAAACGGAGTACTCAGGCAGTTTTGTACACTACAGTGAATAAGGCTGGGCGGTTCATGGGGCAACCATTGACTAATTTTAAAGATTACATGTACAGGGTGTCAAAAACAAAAAGGTCATTGTACTTTAAAGGGCTATTATGGCCAGACTATATTATTTTTACCAGCAAACAGCATGGTATCATTTTTAAGCTGAAGCTGATATCTTGGTTTACATTCCAGGGTCACGCATCATGGAGTACCATTGTCTTAAAGTTGTGGTGCAAAAATGCAGTTGGTTCACTGAAATATCGACACTGATTCATGTTTTTTTATTCATACTTTCTCAATGGCCAAGATTGTTGGCTTTTCCACATAGTTGCGGAAAAGCCTTTCTTTTTGTGCTGGCTTTTCTTTCTTCTTCTTTTTGTCGCCTAAACCCCATAGACTTTGTACACGTTTTTTCTCATCGCCACTTTTGGCATTAATCTTTGTCATATATCATTCAAAGTTACCACAGGCATAGCTCCTATAGCAAAGTTGTGTCCCGAAGAGTGACGTCATGGTGATGTCATCATGGGTCACGTGACGTCATTTTAAATGTGCATATTGTAAAGTGCTATAACTACAGAACTGTAAGTCCGATTGGGTTGAAACTTGGTATGTAGGTAGGCCGGGATGTGTTATTGATGAAAATTGAGGTGACGTCATGATGACATCATCATGGGTTACGTGACGTCATCCTAAAAGTGCCTATTGTAAAGTCCTATATCTAGAGAACTGTAAGTCCGATTGGGTTGAAACTTGGTATGTAGGTAGACCAGGATGTGTTATAGGTAAAAATTGAGGTGACATCATCATGACGTCATCGTGTGATTTTAAAATGAATTTTTGGATTTATGTACATTTAAGCAATATCTCACGAATGCAACATGCAAAATTCAAAATTCTTTTCGTATTATGTTTGTTAGGTAACAGGTATATGCACAAACATTTGAAAAATGTGTGATGTCATCATGACATCATCAAAAATGCGATTTTTGAAAACACATATAAGGGAAAGTCTGATCACCATGAATCTTAGTGGATAGCTAGATAATGGTACTAGTATGCAAATTCTGAAAAGACGTTACCATGAAGTCATCGGTTGATTTTTTATTAATTTTTTTTCATATTTACAATTTAAAGTGCCTATTGTAAAGTCCTATATCTAGAGAACTGGTATGTAGGTAGACCGGGATGTGTTACAGGTGAAAATTGAGGTGACGTCATCATGACGTCATCGTGTGATTTTAAATAAATTTTTGGGTTTTTGGACCTTTAAGCCATATCTCACGAACGCAACATGCAAAATTCAAAATTCTTTTCGTATTATGTTTGCTAGGTAATAGGTATATGCACACAATTTAAAAAATGTGTGACGTCATCATGACGTCATCAAAAATGCAATTTTTAAAAACACAAAAAGGGAAAGTCCAATCGCCATGAAACTTGGTGGATAGCTAGATAATGGTACTAGTATGCAAATTCCGAAAAGACGTCACCATGACGTCATTGGTTGATTTTTTTATGATTTTTTTCATATTTACAATTTCATTCTGCTTCCAAAATTTAACATTTCCTTCATTGGATTGACTTCAACCTTAGTACAAACCAAGACCACAATGCAAAAATGAGCATTGACAAGTGTAATCAAGATGATGTCATCGTAGGGCATGTGGCGCTTTCATAAAGATGCATTTTTTTAAAGTCTCATATTGAGAAAACTATCAGTCCGAATGGGTCAAAATTACGTACGAAGGTAGTCCAACACGTCTGATTTAATATGGATTTATTTCTTTTGGAAGATAATATATCTCAAAGACAACATGCTAAATTTAAAAATTATTGTACCGTATTCTTGGAAACGTTGTTCATGCATAGTCTGGAACGTGTTATTGATAAAGAAAAACATAATGCGGAAAAGCCCTTTGTTCTGTTGCTAACAGACATAGAAATGCTTCTCCAAAGGCATCCTGAGTAGCCTGCAAATTCTGCTTCCATGCAATTTTTTGACCACAAAGATTCTCTGTTCTGCAGTTAGCTGAACCATTGTGACAACCTGAGGTTTACACACTGTTTGAAGGCCAGAATGACATGGGTTCAAAAGTGAACCAACTGCATTTTTGCACCAAAATTTCAAGACAATGGAGCTCCATGATGTGTGACCCTGGAATGTAACCCAAGGTCAGTGTTGTAGTTGAGACCTGAAAACACGAGACCGAGACCGAGACCGAGACCTCAGGACCGAGACCAAAATCGAGACCTTAGGGTCCAAAGCCGAGACCGAGACATTATGGGTGAGACCAAGACCGAGACCATAGACTAATTAGCATAGGGTTATGAGAAATATATATTTCTTACAAAAACATGGTGTTCAAAGGTTTTTTTCTGAATGCTGAATGAATTCAAATGTTGTCACAGGTTTTATTAAAGTGGTCAGTTTTTATTGTATCTGGAAGACTGGAACATTAGCTTTACACATGTACTTCATCCATCGAACGTCCTCAGTTGAACCTAGTTATACACTGTTAAACACGGTTGAGGTTTATGTAGTTTTGAACACAACAAATCCATTTGGTAGTGGTAGTAACTTGACCCAAAATTCAAAATCTAAACTTCCCAAGTCATTGCACTGTAAAAATCTGAATCACCTGTGCAAAACATCTAAACAAACGTGTCTTTTGTGTGTTTCAAGTTCCATCTTACAATAAAATTGGGATGAGTATTCACAATGCACTGGTACAAATTATGCTCTGGTCCAAAGATATGCTGTCTGGGGGAAGTATTTTAAAAAGGTTAATTACTTAAAACACCTGCTAGTACAGAGAACACCTGCATTTTTACCAAAGCAGATATCATTTCAGAGTGTTTATTTAAACTTATCTGAACTAGTAGTAGTTCAAGTCAACAGTAAAAAAAAATACGGTACAAATTTTCTCAAATCAAAATCGGTGTCGCAAATGTGTGCCCGGCCCCAGGCTCTTATTAACGGAGAATGATATTCCACATTCGTGCAGCTGGATGCGACATGGCAGTGGCCAAACCGTAGCGACTCGGACTTACTTTGCCTATGAACTCGGCTGAGCTAAACTTGTGCCAACTCTCTCTGTGAGCTTAATACTCTTGCAAACTCTGCAAAATCTGGTATTTGAAACCAAACGTTATCACTGCAGAGTGTGCCGACATGGTTGTGCTTGATCAACTCCATGTGGTATGCACACTAAAGCGCATGCGGTACAGTGCATTGTACCCAAGTACCGCAAGGGAGTTTGCGTTACTAGAAATGCAGTGGTATGTGGGTACCAGAATATTTGATTACGTTCCTCGGAATGGATAGCACTGTCTATCGAAGCTTTCGAAAGTAGGTCCGATATGGTCAGATCATGTAAATTTATTTGATTTTGTTTGTAGTTTTTTCCCCGACTGAACAATAAGGTCTCGTATGCTCGAGACACCACAAGATCTCAAGACTTTTGCGCCGAGACCGAGGCTGAGACCAAGTTCATGTACATGTACATGATTGTATCAAAGACAGTGGGACTGTGTAGTTTGTGCACAAGCCATCGGTGGTAATTTGTGCACAAGCCATGGGTGTTAGATAATTAACAAGCTTGAATAGAAATATCTGGAAAATTTACCTTCAACAATTTTATGATAGGCAAAGTGCAAGTACAGAAGGAACAGCAGATGAAGAGCAGCAACTGTCACAGCGATTGTCAATTTGTGACTTCGGCCTTTGGTTCTGGATAAATAGACACCTACCTGAAATACCATGATGAAGAGAAAGACAAGGGGAAAGGTGGCTCATTATGAAATCAAGAATGGAAAGAGAACATCAAAAAGTAACTAAGATGTGGTTATACTTACCGTGACCCATTTTGTGTTCTTTGTTCTGCCTTAATTATTTTCCAACAGGCATTTTGGACATTCTTTAATTCCATTTTCCTCCTGCATTCTCTTCACCTCATATCATTCAAATTAGAATCATAGCTTGGGTGGTCATCATGAAACCCTGGCCCACACCATTAACAGCACAAGAGGTTGTCAATTTTTTTTATTGTATTTGTTTTGTTGGGAGGTTCAAATTTTTTGTCAATGTTTTTTTAGTCCCACGATTTGACCATGCTGATATGTATGTGGCCTATTTTCAAGTGGTATAATAGGGGGGAAAAGTGGCACCACGAACGTCTCCCCCCCCCCCCCCCACCCCAAGAAAAAAAATCATTTCTGCGGAGCAAATTTTTGAAAAAATTCAAATTTTTTAACAAAAAAAAATTGTGAGGCCCCCAAGCCAAATCCTGGTTGCGCCACTGTTGGAATTGGATGAATTGACGAGCAAAGATATATGATTAGGTACTTCAACTACAAGAATGATATACTCTTACCATTCTCAAACTTGACAGGCCTCCAAGGATAGCCCAGGATGTGTAGAATAATGTATGAGACATTGTGCTGTGAAGCGTTGTACCCAGGAAGAGGACAACACAGAATGAGAACATCCCATATCCCTGGATAACAGAAATACACGTAGCTTCATTTAGCAGGGAAAAATAACAAGCATAAAAACAAAACGCTACACTCATAAAAACTGACATTTCTAAATACAAATATCTTTCTGAATGTTTGCATCAAATGAGGACTTATCCACAATTCAAGCCAAAAGGATCCCTCTCATCCTCAATCTGTGCAGTCACAGTAGACCGTGCTTTGGGAGAACACATGAGAGGTCCTTGGGCAGGACACATTACATGCATTTGCCCTCACTGGTTCTTGGGTGTGTGGTAAAATATATACACGGCTTTCACTGGTTCTTGGGTGTGTGGTAAAATTTATACACGGCTTTCAAATAAGTATTCAAGCCGAGGCTCACAGTGCTATGCCACTGTATGAACTGAGGATCTTTTTGTGTTTTAATCTTCACAACAAAGGCCAGCACTGAGGCCTCGGTTTCAGTGCCAATTCTGAAGATGCATAGACCTGTGTTGTCCTGCTTCATTCTAGCTTTGTGACCGTTGAGGGGATACTTGTGTAGTGAGTCCATAATGACAGCAAGATTTGATATGTGACAATTGTACAAAAACAGTACTGATGTTGCTATTTAACAAACACCACTGGGTCATTCCATGCCAACTCAACAAATGTTGCACACCATCACCTCTTGGATTTTTTCTTTTTTGGTGTACTGAAAGATACTTAGGAGAAATGCAAATTCTGAAAATTTGGGGTCTCTACGACTTTTCGTTCTTGCGCAACAGCATTTTGAAATTTGAGGTGGGCGGGGCCAAAAGTGCGACGCGTCACGAAATTCAATGTTTAAAGGGCCATATATTTAAAACTATACCCCCCAGACATTTCAAACTTGGTAATCTGGGCTATTTTTTGCTGTAGATTTCAAATATTTTAACAGAAAGAAAGTAGCTTGTTTCATTTTTAAGTTAAAGGGGCCCCAAAATGGCCCAAAACTCATCTGGACCAATGTTCGGGGGGGTGTAAGTCAAAAATTGAAAATATTTTTGTCACCAATTTTTTTGCCTGTAATAGCCCCCAAGTGAAACTACTTTCATGTAAAATCTTACACTTATATTAACTTCATTGAATGAGATATAGCCCTTGCAAAAAGCAAATTTCTTATTTTTACGATAACTTGACCCCCCCAAAAACCAACGTCAGACATTCCGCCCCAAAGTTTGCTTCACATATGTTTGAGGTTGGTCCTTAGTGAAGTCCTCTGAAAAGTTTCATGTTGGTGTCTAAATGTCTTCAGTGGATAGCTGGGCTTTATAATGAGTCTATATCTTACGATGCTGGTTCCGTAACATACAACTAAGTATGTACACGTACATTGTACCAAGAATAACAGCAGTCGGTACATAAAGAATAAGTTGGGTATGAAACTTAGCTTTCATTTGTACATGTAGACTTTTGATCAGTTGATATTATTGTTTACAGTTTCACAGGTGAAATTATGCATTCCTTGTGATGTAGTTTTGATGAAGTTGAATGAGTTGCATGATGGTTGGCTCACTAAGTTTGTATTGCCTTCCACCGCTATGTAGAAGTTCTGGTGTTGGTACGCAACACAACACATCAACAAATGGAATGTTACATTTATCCTCTCTTTGTGGCCAATAGAGAGTATTTGTTGATTCCGTCCTGTACATGAAGCGGACATACACATCCTCATGAAGTTGTGATACATCTTCTACAATAGCAATGTACCAAACATCATCATAGACCACACAAACATATTTTCCTGGGTTGAGGTCAGCTGCTACAATTGGTGCATGATGAGTTTCCTGCATGAACTAGGTTCCCCTTATCCATAATGAAAACTAAGATCAATCAGGTTAAAACCATAGACCCTTTACTCAAACTGAATCATTTCTCTTTGGTTCAGGTTAGTGCTATACTATGCTGTGCAAGTGAGAACTGGTTAATGTATACATGTACATGACATGCATGCTGTGTGATGAGCACATGGAAAGAATAAGACTCTCAAGTCATTTAACCTAATTTGCCTATAATGCACACATAGGTCTACAAGCAACTGTTTATTGAGCAGGAAATGGGTAGTCTTGACCCAAGTCTATCAACAGTCTATCAACAGGGATTTTGTTGTGCTGGTTCCGTAAAATACAAGTACATGTACTTGTATGTTACTGAACCTGCAGCATCGTAAGATATAGACTCTTTATAAAGCCCAGCTATCCACTGAAGACATTTAGACACCAACATGAAACTTTTCAGAGGACTTCACTAAGGACCAACCTCAAACATATGTGAAGCAAAATTTGGTGCGGAATGTCTGACGTTGGTTTTTGGGGGGGTCAAGTTATCGTAAAAATAAGAAATTTGCTTTTTGCAAGGGCTATATCTCATTCAATGAAGTTAATATAAGTGTAAGATTTTACATGAAAGTACTTTCAATTGGGGGCTATTACAGGCAAAAAAATTGGTGACAAAAATATTTTCAATTTTTGACTTACACCCCCCCAAACATTGGTCCAGATGGGTTTTGGGCCATTTTGGGGCCCCTCTAACTTAAAAATGAAACAAGCTACTTTCTTTCTGTTTAAATATTTGAAATCTACAGCAAAAAATAGCCCAGATTACCAAGTTTGAAATGTCTGGGGGGTATAGTTTTAAATATATGGCCCTTTAAACATTGAATTTCGTGACGCGACGCACTTTTGGCCCCGCCCACCTCAAATTTCAAAATGCTGTTGCGCAAGAACAAAAAGTCGTAGAGACCCCAAATTTTCAGAATTTGCATTTCTCCTAAGTATCTTTCAGTACACCAAAAAAGAAAAAAATCCAAGAGGTGATGGTGTGCAACATTTGTTGAGTTGGCATGGAATGACCCCACTATACCAAACATTCAGCCATGTCAGCTATTGCATATGTAATCATGCCGATAGCTGAAATAGTTCAAACATCCCAGCAATGGATTTTGTTGACTGGACAGCCGTCTGGTAGGATTTTTTTTTGTGGCAGTCTTTATATGCTTGGTGACCATGATGTCGTTCCTGCCTGTATGCCTGACACTGAAGTTGCACTTACAAAGAATGCAGAATGCATGGAAACTGTCAATAACAGGCCACTCAGTTATAAACTGAGTGGAGGTATTTCTACTTTAGAAAATCTCATTTTTTGTTAGGAGTCTCCATTATTCTCCGTACATTTGTACAGGCAGATGGCAAGGACAGTTTTCAGTGATGGCCTTGATTGCCCACCCGACAGGTACCAGTTTCCAGTTGAATGGGGAGTTAAATGGAGAGTGTCGGTGAGACACCAGACTAACAGACGTTAAGCCAAGAAAAAACAAATGTTTAACGTCCTGCCTTTTTGAAAAAAGGAAAAGGAGGCCCTCAGGAAATGACATACCGGTATCAGCTTTATATGGGCTAGATGCAACGGACAAAGGGGCCAAAATGATGTCACTGTTTTAAATTTATCATTTTTAAGGTTTTTTTTGGTTCCAAAAAAAGAAAAGAAAAAAGGACGCAGTGTTAGAGTCATTAGTATCTCTCCAGAGAACACGTAATATCCATATTGGAAAGGGTTTTTTTGACATAGGTCTTCTCTCCACACACCACCTTTCAAGGTTGGTTGATGACTGAACCTTACAGTGAAATGGAACTCACACCCATACACATTTGTTTATGGGGTAAATCAAGGATTTTTTTGTGTTCCTCTTCCTTTTCCTTTATTCTTTTCCTTTTTAATAACTTTTTTGCAACAGCTCTCATTGGTTTTGTACACGTTTTCCAACCGAGGAGTCCTTGATTTGGTTTTCTGTCCTCGATTCACCGATGATGTTGCACGTGTGTCCTCTATTTACACCATAAACAAATGCACACAAGTGTGTATGCCTGCAACTGGGACCCTCTATTGTTCCTCTTTTTTTTTGAAGTTTTAGGAAGACCTTCTTATATATTTTATACACGATTGCCAAATTGGGGACCTTCAGAAATTGGTGACCCTTTTGTCCTTTATTGTTGAAAGTCCCTATTGAATGCGGATACCACATACACCGACACACAGAAGGAATGCGCCATCGTCATATCCCCCTGTCTGGCTTGAACGCCAGGGGGATACAAATGGGTTCCAACACTTCCAATTGCCCAGGCCAATACTTAGGGTTTCAGTTCATGGAAACAATTTACAAATGGAAAGTCCTACCATAAGGGCTCAAAATAAGCATGTACTCGTGTATTTTGGAAAGAATTTGTAAAGTGGTTCAACATCTTCTGCCACTAAACTTAAAGAACTTTGCTCATATGGACAACTTCTTCCATCGAAGGAGATCATCAGCTACAAAATATGCACACAGGGAGCCCTAATACTCAAGATCCCCTGCATAACCGAGCTGATCAAATCAATACGCAGAGTTTTGAAAACCGTCTGTTAATGGGCCTTTTTTTAAATGGTTTTATTTGTTTAAGAGATTGCTTTTACTGTAAAGCCCACCCAAAAAGAAAACAAATGATGGTAAAATGGTCATAATTGACCATTGCAATCCGGAGTTATGGCTAAATATATGTCCATCAAATGACGTTATTTGTATAGGAAATGTGTACGAAAATGGTAATTTTTTGTGGTATTGAATAAAAAGGCATATTTGAACATCTGTTAAAGTGTAAATAAACACTTGGGTAAACTTAAAATTGTTTTTTTTTATCAGAAATACTATTGGTTTCAGTTGGTTTTGAGTTGTTAAAAATCATAACATGCAACAAAACTGATGTTAAAAATGTACTTTTACACTAAAAAATGACTGACAGCAAGGTTGAAAAGTGACAAACCCAAAAAGCAATAAAAGTAATAAAACTTCCATTTTCTAGAACATGTTTTCAACAAATTTGGATCACTTAACGATTTTGTGTTGATACACTATGTGGACCCCGAAAAGACCACTGCGCACATTCGTTTTGTACACAAAGTGATCACCGGCAGCAACCAGCGAGTGCACAAGCCCTACTGTTAGCGACAAAAACCTCCTGGGACCAGAAACTTGTCATCGACGCTGCCACGCGCATCAACTTAGAATGGCGGGCCCATGCAGTGAAGTCATGGAATGGACGTCCCATCATGCTGTGCCCAGTAGACGTTCAGATCGAGACCGACACCTCCCACACGGGATGGGGTGCGGTATGCAATGGTCAGGAAGCAGCAGGATTTTGGAACTACAGAATGTCAATGATGCCCTCAAACTACAGGGAGCTCATGGCAATCTTGCTCGCACTCAAGACCTTCAAGCATTTGGCCAACACAAAAATTCAGGTGCTTACAGACAATATCACAGGGGCAGCACATGTCCACCATCTAGGCGGACTGAGCGAGCAATTGTGCACAGTAGCGAACGCCATTTGGTTCGACGCTCATAATGCTCCAAGCCAGATATCTTCCGGGGTCGCAAAATGTCACAGCAGACAAACTGTCACAACTACTGCACAAATATGAATGGTAACTTCACCCAAACTTGTTTGCATATTTGGATGATTATGGGGCCACACAGTGGACAGATTACCCAGTTGGCAGTATTGAACAGCAAGTTCACCAAACTGTATTCCGCAGGTGTGGACATGCTCGCTCAGAAAGACTGGTCCACAAACAACAACTTTTGCAAGCCACCATTTCACTTGCTGCTGCAGGTACTACAGGGGTGTGAGTGGAGCTCCAAAAAAAATAGCTGAAAATACCTAAACCCATAAATAGCCGAACCTGCAAGCGCGAAGCCCTTACGGCGTGGGGTCCGGGCCAGCCCAATGGCCCTGAAAAATTTTGACATGTAGATGCTCTGTGGTGTGCATTTAACAGCCTCCTGGGCCAACTATTGGCCGAAAATGTTTTGCAATTTATGCATGTTTTTAAGTTAACTTTTCCTTCATATTGGCTTGAAACTGCCTAAATGGCCAACTTGTATATGAAAACTGTGTTGAAATTGAGGTTTGTACTAGTGCGAGTCTGCCAAAGCCCCGGCCCGCAAAAAAATAAACTTCCTTTAAAGTTTAAATCTAGCTCTTACTTAAGAATGCACATCAGCATCCAGGCTTTTGGATTTTTCTTATCGTGTCGCCTAATTTCTGCCCATGAATGACGAACGGTGTGTTCCATCCAAATACTTTTCCACGGATTTGTAACTTGAGGATCGGTCTTGTCAATGTCGGTATCAAACTCCGAACCTCTTTGGACAATTATGCATTTGTGTTGCACTGACATCTTGCGGAATTAATAATAATGTCAAAAGTTGTCGGAAAATACGTACGAAACGACACACTATGTGCAGCGGAATGCAGGATGCAGATGCAATGCACGCATTAACACGCATGAAGCCCTCTATCGGCGCGGCGACAATTGACAAGTCTTATTTCAAGGCTATATTTGCAACAAGACGTGTGCAAAGCATAGCTCTATGGTGCAAAGTGATCTTTTCGATGTTTACAGCGAGTTATGAAATCACTGTGTGTCACTACCAGGAACGGTTCACTCGTTACCCCCCCCCCCCCCAACCTGCAAACAGGAGCTGGGATACTCTGATGAATTCACGCTCTGATTGGTTGGTTTTTGCGTGACCTGTGACGTGCAAGTCATCATGGCCATGACTCTGCAATATTTAAACGGCCGTTAAGACTGTTTCATTACTCTTTTATTCCTATTTATAGATGCTTTTTTTTTCATTGAAAAGCGTAATAACGTAGGAAAATCTGTAAAACTTATCTGTGTTGTAAATTTGCAATTCCCTTCACTTGCTCAGGCTCCGTTTCGAATTCACGAACGGTCAATGTTTGCATTATGCGACGTTCAAAATTTGTCCACATGATCCGCAATAAAAAAGAAATCACATCCGGTATGGAATGTGTGCATTTCTATGAGAAAGTTTTCGGATAGCATTTGCGCGCATTGAGTAACTGCGGTCTTGAACAGCTGTAGCCAGATGCTTTATACAGAGGTCATGATAAATTACCCAGGATGCCATCCCCACTTCCTTCACAATATTCTGTGAAGCTCATCAGCGTATCCCAGCATCCTGTTTGCAGGGCGGGGGTAACGAGCGAACAGGAACGGCTGCGAAGAGTCCCAATGCACATCATCACGCACGTGTGAATATTGATATTTATCTGCAGCCAATCACAGTGCAATGACTGTTGGTTCCCCGGATGCTCAGTACACACGCATATGGCTTCGACCTGTAAAATGCATGCACATCGCATCGTATACGGCACATGTACAGTACAAGTACGTGAGTGATTGTACATTGAATACTCGCTTGCATGCACCACAGAGCTACGTGTAGAGCGAATCGACTGTGTTTTTCGCATGCGTTTGGCAGCGGCGGAAAATAAAATAACCGGAAATAAAATCAATGCTTACGCGCAGGGGAAAAAGCGGGGGAAAATCTGGACCATTGGTAGAAAAACAAAATGTGGCACACTGAACAAAAAAGCGGAAATCCGCTAAAAGGCAGATATTTCACACCCCTGGTACTAAATGTCATCGAAGCAACTCAAGCGTGGGCAACAATTATTGCACCGCACTGGCCAGCACAGCCGTGGTTTCAACGCCTAATAAGTATGTTTGTTTGCCCTGCGCTAAAACTTCCAAAGTGGAACGTATTCATTCCAAATTGCAGACAACCAGAACCATGGAAGAACAAACAGTGGACAGTGTATGCCTGGCGTGTATGTGGAGGCAATCACTAAGGGCACAAGGGTGGTCAAAACCAGCCACTCTACAACTTCCTCTATGTCTAGCCCCGACAACTCTCGCTGCTTACAACAGGTCGATTCGGAATCTCCACTGTTTTTGCCACAACAGGAAATTGGATTTCCCTCCCATGCAGCCAGATATCATAGCTGGTTTTCTGTGTTCAATTGCCGACAATTCTGATACACCTACTGTAGGTCACAACTAAAGGTTGCGCAAGCCACCCTAAGACAAACCGGTATGTATCATGCATTCGGTCTGTACAACCCTTTTGAATGGTTCCCAATCTGACTGCTAATCACGGCTATTGTCAAATCTGGTTCACAGAAACCAATGACTAAATGCAGAGTGATGCCGGTTAACCCTAACCCCCAGGCCCTTTTGGCTAGGAACCATCCTCAATCCTGCAAAATCCTCCAATTGCCACCTTGTTAACATTGGATTCAGCCTCAATCCTCCAAAATCATCCGTTAATTCTTGAATTTATTCAGTGGTGTGGTGACCATTGCCTCAATCCTCCAAAATTTTCCTCCATTCACTGCTATGGGTCGAGTCAGTACCGATGACATTTAGAAGCAGTGCGGATGATATCCAGCATAATGCAGGGTGCCATTATGCATGGCTGAGCATAAGGACTGCTGGGTACAGCCTACGACCTCGACCCATTCCATCCTCCAACCGACACTTTTTGCCATTCACGGCTCAAAGTCATGCGTGCTATGGTATGCCCAAATCGTGCCTACAGTAACAGTATATAATTTCCATAGGAATGTACACAAATTAATGGACCGACTGACTTTCTGAATTGAACATAATTTGCATTTTAAAAACATAGCCAAATACATTAAAACCAAAGATTAAAGGGAAAATATAACGTTTTGACTTACTGTCAGTGATAATACTTGCAGGAATGTGATGTGTGTGTTGCAGATGAAGGAGACGCCATAATACAGCCCTGATGCCAGCAGCCAGTAGCCAAAACCAATGCCAATGGCACTGCCCATTAGGGTTCCCTCTCTCTGCAATTCCATAGACCACCAAACATGTATTATAGGTGTTGGATGTAGAAATACTGCTGTGAACTCTGTGCAATCATACTCCCTCAAGGATCAGACAGAAAGAGTAATTGCTAAACATACACGTACAACTGGCACTATCTCACTAGTGGTCACCAAGCAACACCTACATGTGCATGTACTAATAGTGAAATGCAATCAGCCTTTTGGGTAAACTATTAATAACTGGGATGACTCTAGACTCAAATTTGAGCTTTCTTGCTCATTTGTACTTAGTCTAATTAGGACCCAAGGATTGTACAAGAGGTACTCCAAAGTTCTGGGTCGTGGCACTCTCTCCTTGCATTCATGCATGCTATTTGCCATTATTATCAGACCTGTAGATTAGAATCCATCACAAGTGCATGTAAAACACATAATACACAGGTCTAGATGAACAATAACAAAGAAATGTCTTTGTCATTTGAACAGATCGTGACTTGGCTTGAAACTGGACGATGGTCTTTTGAGGTCATGTGATGGACTCAACTTCAACGCTGATTATAATAATAATACTTATCATAAAGCCCTTGATTTTATTTATTAAAGAAAGCTAGAATGGGTAAAGTATGAGTTGGTTTCATACCACTGTGTGTCCTGCATCCTTCATGCCCATCAACAGGATAGCTACAAGCGTGAATACAATCATGAGTGGTCCATACAGCTCCCCAACAGCCTTCTGTGCAGTGCCTGAGGGTCTCAATGGCAGTAATGACAACACCAATCTGGAGGGGCAAAATGACGGTCTAATTAGAAGAAGTTTTGTAGATAGCAAGTGCAACTTAAAACAACATTCATCTTCTAATTCCAAATAGGACAATGATGAATTCTTGGGGTTTTTGCTGGAAGTGATGGGCCAAGATACTGTCCTCTGACTTAAAACTGCCTATGACAGAAAATAAACCATCATAATACCCTTGGTACACTTTGAATCCTAACGGCATGAACTAGGGATCTGCACCTGCATCCTACAGCCTAAGGCCACAGGCCTAAAACATGCAGTCTAAAGCCTGAACCTTGAAGCATGCAACAAAAAGGTGACCACCACCTCCTCTCACCAGAAATTATCTGACATCAAGACATGACAGCTTGAGGACAAGGACTTCACAAAGAAGACAAAGTCCTTTCTATGTCAGAGGCAGAGCATGCTATTAGCAAGCTTGGTGTTTGTTTGTTTGTTTGTTTTTAGCTCCCGTTTCTCACCTGTGAACAACTGTCTTGGGCTCCACATCAAAGTAGGGTCTCAGCAGGTCGATATTGCCGTACAGGTCAAAGACCTTGCGAGCCTGCTGCTTTCCTGTCTGCCAAACCTGCCAAAATGAATACCAGGAAAAACAATATACTTTGCCTGAATTTAGCTAAACTGGTCTGATGCATACATGTACATAACAATGCACCAGAAGCTGAAACTGTAGTTTTGTAAGGTCTAGAAATATGCACAGTGAAGTTACATTGTACATATACGTAGTCTGTGTCTTTTTCTGCTTTGCTTTTGAGATTTACACATGTAGACCATGTCACCATGTTTTTTACCGTTTCAGCCATCTGAGTCTTGACTGCATCCATGAATGCTCCCTGAGGATCATCATTCTTCCTCTCCTCTCTCATCATATCTTGTCCCTTTATTGATGTACTGGTATCTGCTTGCTTGCTGGGCTCTGTCGCTACACTATCAAAGTCATCCGTTTCAAGCATGCTGTCTGTTAGGCTAATGACAGCTGAATTGTTCTGCAGTCCAAAAAACAACAATACATGGAATTACCCTCAATCAATTTGTAAAAAGGATTGATCACACAATACCGGTACACTGCACATTGTATAGTGTGATTTAGAAAGAGTTAAAAACATAACATAACAATGTACATGCAGGCCTCGACCTTAACCCTAGACCAACGAACCATGTCTAGTAAAACCTGCTGCAGGCTAGTAAAACATGCTCTTCAACTTGCCTGGTGGCAGGGTGGGGTAGTAAAGAAATGCAGCCAGGTATTCAAACAATGGACCTTTATCATGCTGTCACCAAATCAGTCATGTTTTCTGTATTCAATAACAGTACTGAATGATAATGTTTTTGTGTTTTGTGCAAAAAGGAACCCGACTATTTTTCCTTCCAGCCTCGCTTTGGTTACATTGATTTGAATGGGGAAAAATCAAGATGGCCGCAACATGACAACGGTCTAAAGCACTAGCACCAGCTAGTACTGTGGGAAATGAAAACTATCAACTATGCTTACTACTGGTATTTTTGCGTTGGTATGTTAGAAATTTTACTTGCTAAAAAAAATCTCCTTCCATTTGGTTCATTTTTTAATGCTAGCGCAGTGACTTCGAACACTGCGCACAAAGTACGATTACCGCAATCGAGAAGCTGAAATAAACCACGATCCGAACATTATGTGCAAGTGGGCCTCCCCATACGCATTCTCTACGACAAGTGGAGTTTTCATGCTCTGCTAGTGCCAGGTTTGAACCAAATCATTTTTAGTCAAGGGGTGTGCTCTCGTAAGACCAATTCACCTGTGTTTTCACCGCTTCAAAATGACAAAGAATACTTTTCATGGAGTCAGAAACATTTCACTGTTCGAAAATTAGTTCTTAAACATCATCATATTTTTTTTGTAAAGTATTTATTGGAAAAACGATGTAAAAGTTCGAAAAAAAAAGACCCATTATGTCCATAAAATGTATAGAGCCATAGTACTAGTTTTGGGAAGAAAGTCGCAAAACATGCGGTCCAAATATTGGGTTTTCTACATGTTGTTGACGTTGACGTGACGTCATGCGCCAACAGCCAGCGCAGCCGGCAAAAACGACTAGTTGACAGCGCGCTGTGCCTGGTAACCGACCGCCATTCATTGTACACAATTTTTTTTGTGCACAAACCAATTGCGGTCCTGGCCATGCCTGCAAGGTTGTCAGGTTAGCGGTTATTCCTCCTTTTTTCACTGCAATTGTAGGCTGAATCTTCATCGTGGATCGTTTTTTACTTCAAGGACCTGTGTAATGGTTATTCCAGGCAAGTTTGGGGTGAGTTGCAGTTGCAATTAGTGTGTAACGGGGACAAAATTGAACATTTTACAAATATTTTGCAATTTTTTTTGGGACCTGCCTATGCTGCTTTTTCTACCATATAAAGCTGTTTTTAATGTTCAAAAGCCTATACAAAATTTGTTGCCGCTCGTTGACGACCGTTGAGGCTTGTTGAGGCTTGTTGACGCTTGTTGATGCGCTTTAGTAGGACCGGTTCACCAGTCATTAAGGAATTTTTGCCAAGTTGTATAAAAAGGACGATTAAAAAATGTTGTGTCTTTCGGGACTTTTAACGATTTTTAATAAATAATAACGTTTTCCAAAACTTGCAAATTTTCCCTCACCGTGTCTGCTAAAAGGTACCGTCTATATTTTAACATAAATCTTTAATGGTGCTCTGTCCATGAAAGTTCCATTGCCTGGTTCCCATTCTTCAGCTGCAAATGTAAATGAAGTCGAAGGACGATATTTGCACCGCGAAATCGTAAAAACTTTTACGGGATCAAAATAAGCACAGCGCGTTAACAAATAAAACGGCACACCGTGTAAAGTGAATGGCGCCCCCAATCGCCAAACAGTAGACTTGCCTCAGTGAGTTATGTTCTCCTTTCGGGGGAAGGGCAGGGTCTTAGAAACCATCCTGCAGATATAATAGTCTTTAATCAACTTGAATTTACAGGGAAAATATCAGACTTTATTCAGGGGATGTTTTGGTCAAACATTAACTATAAATAAAAAAGTTGAGATCATTATAAAAACCACTTCCCGCATACCGCGATAATAGGGAGTCCGCCTCCGTTCGCACACTCCGAGCTAGACCCGTGAACGTGGCGTTGTATACAACGCCACGTTGTTGTGTATTTTAAAACCTAGGCAAAAAAAAAAAATAGTTCTGCTTCCGATTACATGCCTTTCAAAAATAGGGTCGGTCGGTCGGAATTTTTTTTTTTTTGCCAATTTTTTTTATGCAGATTGAATGGGGTATTCAATTATATGCGAAGTTTTAGCCTGAACTATTTCTATTGTACTACGAAAGCTATACACGAAATGGCAACAAAAAGTGAGTAAAACCTACCTTTAATTATTGTCAATATATTTACGTTCGATAATTTCAAAAAATAATGGAAAATTAAGGCCGTTCGCACCATATGCACAACGCTAGTCAAGACGCGGGGAGCTGGCCAAAACTCCGAGGTGTGTAATGCGTGCGTGTGTGGCGAGCGGCCCACCATGGGCCGTCAGAGCTGTTTTTACCGTCAACAATTTCGGGAAACACGCGGCATGTATCACTCCAAATACGAGTAGTGCGATCTCAAAATGAACTCCTGAACACAGAAAATACATACACGGACAAGGTAGATCAATTCTGTAAATTAACTTGCAAAAAATGTTCTTTCTCCATCGGTGTTTTCTTGGCATTTTTACGATGTCGAATCCGACCAGTTGACAGTGGCCTGCACTGTACTGATAGCGCGTTATCGGTCACATAGCTAGCTATGGACTGGTTACCGCATTTCCATTATGTCTTCTAAATTGGCCCCTGCGCGGTGCGGCGGGAACCAGTCGTCGCCACGTGATTATAGTAACCGTGCGTGACATCGAATTGCGAAGTAGTTATATCGCGAAGCGAATTTGTAATAACGGAGGTTTCTTTGAAAAAAAAGCGAATGTAAGTAAGAAAACAAATAAATACAAGCATTTTTGGATGCAAAAGGGTTGTTGAGAGGTAATTTGTGAAGACAGAAAAGACAGATTTTATTTGTATTTATTCAATTTTTTTTTATTTTTTTAAATTTTTTTTGGAATCGCCGATAAAATTTTTAGGGTCGCAGCCTAAAAATAGGGTCGGTCGGGTAACCGGAAGCAGAACTATTCTTTTTTTTGGCCCTAGCGAAATCGATCCAACATACATAATTCCGTATGGGTGTTGAGTACTCACCTAGAAATCTAAATTTGCCTGTCCGATTGTTTAGGCTGTGTAATTTCGACGAAATTTGCCCATCAGTAAAGACCCATACGAACGTGTAGAAATTAGATTTTTAACTGACACTGACAAATAACCCCGGACGAGTCGCTTGGACAGATTGACGGCTGTTTCATGTCGCAACCCTGAAAAAACCAACGATTGGCTGCTCGGCTCATCTCGTATACAGTACGTGTGCGCACACACACGCGGGCGCACGTGCGACCACGTGCGGTGCGGTGAGAGAGGAAAGGACTTGAAACTTGTCTAAAACGATGTCTGTTTTAGCTGCGACAGTAAACAGCCGTCGAATCATACAAAAATAAAACGCAATGCGCATGCTTCAGTTGGGAGAAAATGGCAGCTAGCAGTAGCAGGACTTCGTGAACCGGGGCCAGAATTTTCCTCAATTTTCGTCAAATGCAAGTTTTGACGTACAAACAGATTTCAAGACAGCTTCATATGTGAGTACTTATTATATGGGCAAAATAACGTCCAGTGTGTGTAACGGAGGGAGTCAGAGAGACAATTTCGCCAGTTTCAAAAGTACACAACAGCGTGGCGTAGTTTACAAGTTTACAAGCCACGTTCACGGGTCTAACTCCGAGCATGTCTATTTTCGCAGGCGTCGTACACGGAATAAACCACACCACCGTCGGAATTTTTTATATCAATTTGAAAAGGAAGAGTTATACTACACAAAAGACAGGACAATTCGGGAAAGTTAGGGGGCAATCTCTATTCCGAACGAGGAACGTGATAAAGTACCGCGATAATAATGGCAACCCATCCTTAAACCTTGTCCGAGTAACTTGGACCCAACTTATCGCCTTTTTTAACATTTGGACATGGTCTGGCGATAGTAGGGTCCAAGCTAATACTGCGAGCTGGACAACACCGTCCCAAAAACCAACATTTTCCAACAAAAAACATCAGACGTCGGCCCTATTATGAGGCGTCGGAATTATGGGCCTTATATTTGGTTGGGGATTAGATTTTGCCGGACTTAGCGCCTATAATGCGTCTGATCTATGAGGCTTAGCGGAGCCCTCAAGATTTCACTTTAAGTTCAATGTTATTGAAAGGTCATTGGAAACGGTGGAAAATGATGAATACTCCGAATAGAAAATACTCCAAATATGGAGAACTAATGATCAAAGGCATCTTGTGAGCGAACAGTTCATCAGTACTGATTGTTATTCTCCTCTGATGTTATTGTGTATCGTCTAAACATGAGAATGCAGTTTCAATTTTGTTGGTTTCTGACAATGGAAGGCATTTCAAATACATGTAGTTTGCTCCAATACTTAGAGAAAATATTCTGAACTTGTGGGAAAAGGACCCACAAAGTCAGAACGTCGACCAAAGAGGCGAAAAAAAAAATCATCTTTTTTTTGCATGCCTATAGAAAGTATAAGGGAGGTATATGGTACGCCCACGGGGGTACGGACGTGCGGATCCAGATAATCCACCCTAAGAATTGTTGTGTAAGCCATACTAGAGTGAACTTTTAAATAATAAAACATGAATCAATGAAGTTGGAGGCACACTCGGATGACAAGTAAGGGAGCCGCTACTACGTTCAAGCTTGACACCACCAAGGAGAAAGAGAAGGCTGCCGGCCAAGGCTAAGGCAGCTGAGGAGAAGGAGAGAATCAAGGCCAAGAAGGAACGGGAAATGAAAGCCAAGAAAGCCAAGATTGCAGAGAAAGCCAAGAAAGCCACAATGGTGAAG